CCAGCCCATCTATTCTTACGCGGGTACCCTGAGCTGCCGTGCAGCTGCAGGACCCTTTTGTCACCCGAGTATATCTTATCGATTCTGGGAGGTAGGCGGCCAGCCGTGACAACGGCAAGGCGTTCGGCAGCACCAGAGGTTTGGGATCCCAAGGCTCCAAGGCGGCCGCTGAACGCGGTAAACTCTTCACCGTTAACCATGCAAACAACAGCAAAGCCAGCAACATTGAAATTGTAGTGCCCGTGGCACGTACAGCTGCCATCAATTAAAACGTTTCCCGTGAAAGTTTCCTCAGGTCTTACATCGGGGTCTCGACACCAAAACCGAGCGGATTCCAGACCAGTGCCAGGCGGGGGGTCTCCCACGAGATTGGGAGCAAACTGGAAACCAAGGTGCAGGGGGGAGGTGCTCGAGATGGGGTCTTTCAACCTAAGAAGCTCCCCACTGGTGAAATCCGATCTGGCATTCTCGGTCTCGGGGCGCTCAAGGAGGCGGTGCTGAAGATAATTCTTATGGTGACCACAGGGGCATCCTTGGGGCACGTCGTATCCAGCGGCTTTGGCACGCTCCAGTCCATATTCTCTGGGTGACGAAGGCAAGGAGGGTGCCGCGCTGCTGCTTAGACAGGTCGGGCGAGCTGAGCACAGAGTGGACGGTTGAGGCCTGAAGCTGCTCACCTGGGTATCCCATCTTGGCGGCAGCTCTTTCGGCCAACTGGTCACGCCAAGCAATCTCGAGGAGCTTGGCCACGTACGCTGGGGAGGTTCCTGGGAGGGGGTACACACGTCCTGCGGAGGAGGAAGAAGAGGGGGAGGAAGAGGAGGACGAGGAGGAAGAGGAGGAAGAGGAGGAGGAAGAGGAGGAGGAGGAGGAAGAGCAGGAGGAGGAAGGCGAGAGCTTGCCGATCGCGGAGAACGGTATCGCAACAGATCCACGGCGACTGCGCCACGGCGGTGGCCGTCGCCCCCGGTGGTGCTGAGGGCAGCGTTTGAGCCAGCGCGTCCGCAGCAGCGGCGGCGGTGAGCTGTCAACGCAGGCACGCACGCAACCAAGATGGCTACTGCTCTCGCCCGGCCCCAGAGCCTCAGCAGCTCTTTGTTCGCCAGCTGGGCCGACACCTCCACCTCGCCGGCGGGTCCCCTCCTCTTGCCCGGTCCCCCGTGCACGGCGCGGGGGCAGAAAGCTCTCTGACCGCCCCCTCCACAAAGAGGATGCCCCCTCCCAGAGGCTTCCAGCTCGCGCTGCTCCTAGTCCTCCTCCTCCTCCTCTTCCTCCTCCTTCTCCTCCTCCTCCTCTTCCCTCTCTTCCTCCTCGAGCAAATTTTGGCTCGAGCGCATCAGTCTGTTCGCTGCGAGAATAAAAAACCTCCCACTTCCCCGTGGTGCGTGAGGGGCAGCGAGCCACCTGCTCAGGAGAGTAGGCACCCTGGCTGGCGACCAGAGGTCGGCCATGGGGCCACAGCTCATCGCGCGCGCTCCATCCGCGAGGCGGAACGACAACTTGCAGAAGAACAGTTGCAAACGCAGGGAATGCTCCTGGGGAAGGAAACCAAAAGGTACCGATACCGCCAAGCCCCCGGACCTCTCCCGGGGCGCTGCCTGCCCACAGAACTTCGTGGCGACTCCGGCGGTGGCGGAGCGGGGCGAGAAGGATTGGCTCGCAGGAGGGAAGAAGAGGGGGCGAAAGGCGCTGCAACGCACCACCGCGCGGCTGCAACGCATCGCAGCGCGGACAAACCCGCCGAAAGCGAGGCCTCGCGGACGCGCCGCTGCTTACTGCAGCGCGCCCCGACTACCACGAACGACCAACCAAAATCCGCGCGGCAACGAAGAGGCGGAAGAAAGAACACGTGGGGAAAAAGAAGACCCAAACAACAAACTGGAAAACGCAAAAAGAAAAGAGGAGGAAGAGAGTCGGAATGAAGACATGCGCAAATGAGTTCGTGCAAGTGGTGCCCTCGTCGCAAGAGCTCGGGGCACGGTGGCGGGGGCGACGCCTGCGCGTGGACTGTGGCGCGCGCGGGGCGTGGGGGCTGCATCTGCCGCATGGGCCGCAGGAGCTGCGCAAAACGTAAAAACCGCATAATCCACGTGGACCGCGCGATCCGCATGGGATGCGGGGGCGGGGGGCCGCGTCGGACAAGCGAGGCAGCATGCGCCGCGCGAGGCGCGCGGGCGCCCCCTGCAGATGGCTGGGCGACACGCGCGAGCAGCGCGAAACGCGCGGGCCGTGGGCGATACATGCACCGCGTGGCCGCTTGCGCTGCCCAGACCGCAGGAAGTGCGCGATCCGCGCGATGGTTGGTCTTGCGCGCCGCCAGGCAAGCCCTGCGCGAACACCGCAGGACTGTAAACACGTCAGTAGGCCCAGTGGACAACCCGTCGCGCGCCCTCTCGGGGAAGCGGCCCCGCTGCCAAACATTCGGGCGAGAGCCGCGCCGACCAAACCATCCAATCGCCCAGCCATCAAACGCAACGGCATCACTTGAGACGCCCCCACAATGCGGCCGCGAGGTTTGGAGAATACACATTGCAATACTGCATCGCTGCTCGACAGCGACGGGAGCAGGGACCGAGGCGACTAACCAACCCAACCGTGCAGCCAAAAGCCTCGGCGCCGTCGCTCGCGAGTTCCTCGCACCCTTGGCGCAAAAGCAGGGAGCAGCGCGTGTTTCCAGCGATGTTGAACTGCAAGGCAGGGTTGGTGAGGAGGGAGAAAAGGGAACGGGCGAACCAGGAAGAGGAACAGCAAAAATCACCCCCCCGCAAGGCAGGGGCGCAGCGTCAAGCCTCCCGCCCCAGTCGGCCGCCGAAGCCTGGCCCGGACACTTCCGCGCTGGGCTCGGAGCGCCGTCGGCGCCGCCGCGGGGGAGGCGGGGGGGAGGGAAAGAGGGGGCGCCATCCCACGCGCATCCGCCGACATAAAGCGGGGGTGGGGCGGGGGGGCAGGAAGGGGGGCGCGAGGAGGGGGAGGGAAAGAACGCGCTGCAACGCACCGCCGCGCGGCTGCAGCGCAGTGCGAAGTGGAGCAACGACAAAAGCGCCTGGAACGCAGCACAAACCATCCCACCGTTAACGAGACCTGGCAGAAGAAACGTTGTTAACTGCAGCGCGCCCCGAAGCCCAAGTGGCCAACCAAATCTGCGCGGCATCATCAAAGGCGGAGGAACCAAAGAGAACCAAGAGGGAAAAGGAGGATTTGAACAACGAGCGGGAAAGCGCTGGAGAGATGGGGGGAGAAAGAGACTCAGACGGGCATGGACTGCACACGCCAAGTGTAAGTGAGGTAGAGCCTCTCAAGAGCGAAACGCTGTACAAGCGACGGCAGGAAAAATTCTTCGACACGGGAGATCACCATGTATGCACCGGTGAGTTCTTCCTCCTCCTCCTTCTCATCCTCCTCCGCATCCTCCTCCTTTTCCTGGTCCTCCTAACCACGCTAGTGTTCATTGCGATTCTTTTTTGCGAGCGTCGGACACAGAGCGGGTATGTAAGAAACTGGGTGGACCGAGAGAACCTCGCAATATGAACGCGACAACGCCCGTGATGTACCCCCTAGCGCCCCTCCCTTGCGATCCCCAAATGCCACGCCTGCTACGTCACGACGACCAGGCAACCCTGAACAAGTATAAACACAATCGAAACATAAAAGCCAGAGTTCCGCTTGAGGCATTCCAACAAGCTGGACGCCGATAAATAAGTGTCCCACCCGCCATCACATCGCAATTATCACGCAGCCCTGAACAGAGACACGTTTACCTCTCAACAACAAGCGCGTCGCGTGGATTTTTTCCCACTATCTGGGCACTCACTCGCAAGTCTCCTGCCCCCTGACGGCTAACTCTTGTAGCGCCCAAGTCGTATGTCTACTACGTCGTCGCGGCGACTGTGCGGTCCTAAAAAGAGACGCGCCGATATTTCCACAACAAATGTTTCAATTGACATATCCCCACAATCTGGGCGCGAACGCACCCGTGATGTACCCCTTGGCGCCTCCCCCCTGTGGGGCCCAAAGGTGATGACTGCTACACCGCGATTGCCACGGCCTGAAAACACATGTATAACCTCCAAAAGTCATCTGTTCGCGGGGGACGTCCCAACAAATCTGGGCGCCAACGGGCACGTGTCTGACCCTCTGACACCCTCCTTCCCTCTCTGGGGTGCCCAAACATATCACTCCCGGCTCACTCCTGTGGAACCGATAATACAAACATAAACAACGACAACAGCAGCCAAGTCTTCGAAGGAAACCACCCCTCAAAATTACAACAACGCATCGATCAAATCGGTTACCCGCCACCCAGAAGATGCTGACAACGGGCGAAACTGAGAGACTTAACCGCAAGGTATATTTAAAAAAAGAGCGAAAATCGGCAGACGTGTGTGAGACGCTGTCGTCGCCTTCGTCGTCGCCGTCGCCAGTCCTCAGTCCCGCCTCTTGGGCTCTTGGGCCATCTTGGGGCGATCTCTGGGGCCTCTTGGGACGTCTTGGACGCTGATAAGACCAAACAACGAATAGGCTTAACACATATTGCTTCCTGAAAGAATGGTACCGTCTTCGTCTCTTAGGGCCGTCTTGGGGGTCCTCTTGGAGCCGTCTTGGGGCGCCTTGGGCCGTCTTGGACCCCTTGGGACTTATCTGGAAGCTCTGGGGGGTCCCGGAGGGACTCCGCGGAAGCTCCGGGGAGGCTCAGGGGAGGCCCCGGGAGGGGAGGGGACCCTTGGGTGATTCTGGGTGACCCTGGTGTGATGCAGCCCCAGGGCCTCTGGGAGTAGGTTTTCGATGTAAACTAGAATCACGCGCGCTGCGCGCTTGCTTTGGTTCTAGCAAGATGTGGCGACGGTCTAGGGCTCGTAGCATCGGAGCGCAGAAAGACTTCTATCAATCATGATCAATCAGCAAGTCGCACCCTCCCTCTATGTCCCCACGGATGCATGACATGAGCCCCCATCGACCTTACTCCTGCATTCTCCTCTCAGTAAGCCCTCTCAATCCCTCTCTTTTCCACCCCCCGTTATGGCGGACCAATGGAATCACATTCCATGCGGCAAAGGAGCTGTTGCGGGCGCGGTGGACGAGTTCCACTTGGCATGCAACGCGACAAAAAACATTCGTTGTCGACGCGGTGGACGTGTTCCGCTCGGCGTGCAACAATGAAAAATACAGCTGGCCGCAGGTCTAAAAAGGATTCCGCATGATCCCTCTTCGGCTGGCTACATATCCTTCCCCAATCAGTGCTTGCACTGATGGGGTCCTAGCGGAAGTTGAAGGATTTGGCGAAAGTTCGCCGCCGATTTTGGTGGCAGGCTGGGTTCCCGGGTTCCCGGTTCTGGGTTCCCGGGTTCCCGGTTCCGGGTTCCGGGCCGATTTCGGAGGGCGGCGAGATTCCCGGGTTCCCAGGTTCCTGGTCGATCTTCTTATCGATCGGTCTCACCATCGCTCTAATTACCGACTTCTCGATCGATCCCACCATCGATCTCACAATCGATCTCACTATAAATATCACAAGCGATCTCACTAGAGATCGCATGAGCGATCTCGCGATCGATCTCACTATCGATCTCATTGAATCGATTTCACTCTCGGTCTCACGATCGACCTTACAATCGTCCTCACTATCGATTCCACTATCGATCTCATTATCGATCTCACAATCGATCTCAAGATCCATAGAATCAATCTTCAAATCATCCACTGATTAGGGTTTTCTCAGGCGCAAATATTTTCATTTCCAGAGGGGCGCCTCGAGAAAACAACGCACACACGCACAGCAGCAGCTCGTGTCCACCGGGGGCGGGAGGTGGGAGGGCGGGCCCCAATGCTTAATCCACCCGCTTGAAGCAGCTGCTAGAAGTGGCCAAGATCTGGTCTTTGGGGAGGGGGGAGCGGGGGCCCGCGCCGATCGGCGAAACAAGACAGAAGAAACAGCTACCTCTCAAGACGGCTCAAGGGCCCGATTTCGGCACACCCCTCACACACTCTGCGCCTACCCGAGGCCTAGACGACCCAGAGCGTCTAAGGCCCACCTGGAGCAAACCCAGTGCCACCTGCCCAATGCCTGCCCACGAACCCCCAGGCCTGCCCAAGGTCAGGCCGACGGCCTATCCAATGACTGCCTCAGGCCAACCTGGCGGCCTTTCAAGAGCTGATATATGGCCTACCAAGAGCCCAGTGAGGGCCCGCCCACGACCTAGCCAAGGCTTATCACAGATTTTCCAACACCTGCACAAATTTTACGTCTAGCCAACCATATGCGAGCACCATAACGAATGTGAACACCCACATGCGCGCGACCACCGTGCCCGCGCTCGTCTTGCAACCGCCACAAAAATCTTGACAATGATGAGCTGTCATGAAGGGTTCTATGGTGCGCCCACCGTCGTCGTGCAACCGCCGCGCAAAATTTGCCAACGCTGGGCTGCCATAAAGGTTTGAACGGTACACGCAAAAAAAATCGACAACGAAATAATCGATCCGACGGTCACCCCAGTACCGCGGCGACTGCCGGGACTGATCCAAGTATTCACTTTCTTCGTGGCGGCCCTGAAAAAAGCACGAACACCTCAAAAAGCCAGCGTCTCGCGTGAGATATCCCCGAATGCTGGGCGCCAACGGGCAAATGTCCCACCCCGTGGCCGCTCCCCAGCGTGGCGCCCAGCAACGTTTGTTGCGACATCGCGAACACCACGCGGCCCTGAAAAAGACTCGCCTACATCCGTGAAACAAGCGAACCGCTGAAGACATCCCCACAATCTGAGGACGAACCAGTAAGTGACCTATCCCCTGGCGGCACCCCCTTGTGTTGCCCAAGTGCTATGCCTGTCGCATCGCGATGATTCTGATCGTGATATAGAGACGGAGGGAGGAGGAGGAGGAGGAGGAGGGAGTGAGCAGACGGAGGTGCGACGCGGATATCAAAATTAACGACGCAAAACATGGGAATGAACACCGCAACATACTCCACGAGACGTGCAACTGCCTGCACAATGATCTGTTATCACCGTCGGACCCTTGCTCCGCACGCGTTCGACGGAAACTGGCGGCAATCAAACTGGCCCAATCTGCCGGGACATCGCTCCGATTTTGACTTCCATCAAACATGTGCTTGTTTCGCCCATGTCGTCCAGCCCCCCATCGGAACCAAGAAAGCCGGCTTCTGCTGATGAGACATCCTCACGATTCGCTCTTAAACTGGCCACGGCGTGCAGGTGACGCTGGCGGTGTGCTGCCCGCGCCGAGGCGAGAGCGCCGTTTGGACGGACGTTCGGCCATTGTACGGAAGTTCGGCCCGCATAGTAAGATGATTGCGCCTGCGGTGAGCTCTTTCTCCGTGGCGAACCGTCGCTGATGTGCTCATGTACCTGCAGCGGGTCGAACTCGTCACCTAATACGAGAGATCAGCTCATGCAGAAAGCCGCTGCCCCTTGCGCCAACGAAAATGAATCCATTCACATGTCACTAACTCTCAAAATTCGACTTCGCCTAGGCCCGCTCCTCCTCCTCTGCCTTCACACGATCAACCACTCTCTCTTGCGAGGCAAACTGATTTCTGGCTCGTCGGCTGTAGATAGGGCTCTTTAGGACGACGATCTCCAGCGGCTTCTTCTCAGACAACTCTGCAAGCATCGCATTCGAGCTCCCACAAATTCCATTAACTTCGATAAAAAAATCACCGCTTCTGACCTCCGCCTTTTCGTTGCGGCTGTTAGGGGGCCACATGCGAACCCTACCCCTACCCCCCACGATTTCTGAGGGGGAGGGTGGGGTTCACTTCGTTCGGGAGCTCCCGAGTGAAGTGAACCCCACCCTCCCCCTCAGAAATCGTGGGGGGTAGGGGTAGGGTTCGCATGTGGCCCCCTAGCTGTTCCACTGGTGAACCAGACCCTCCTCGAGGACGTTCTTAACGAGCACCGCGGAACAGTGGCTGATATCGACGTCGATCCCCAGCTTGGCTCCGTCGCTCCTGTCTAGCGATATCTTGAACTTGGATGCCCCCGAGACGCGGCTTGCAGGCGCCAGGGCCTTGGCAGGCGACTCGTCCGAGGCCATGGGCGTCGACCCCGCGGATGACAACACCTTGTCGGCGGCGAACGAGGGGGGGAAGTGAGAAGGACACGGCCTTCTCAGAAGGTTCGGAAGTCCCCCGGCCTTCTGAGAAGCTCTCTGCGCCTCCCCCGAAGACGCAAAAAAACTCAGAAGGTGCCGGGGCCGGCTTCTGAGAAGCGCCGCCGCCTTCTGAGAAGGCCACCTCTTTCTCACTTCCCCCCCTCGCTCGCCGCCGACCTTGGGCGGCAGAGAGTAGATCTCGCTCCCACAAGTCTCGCAATCTTGCAGCATGCCGCCGTCCGTCTCATCACAGGGAGGCCCCGGGTCGACCAGAGCGAAGCACGCCGGGCACTGCCGTCCGCCGAAGTCCACGCCTCCGCAGCGCTCCAGATCGATGGCGTCAAGGCACTGCCTCGCAGCGGCCACGCTGACGTGGAGCATGCAGCAGCCTCGGCCGCGGGCATTGATGCGCCTGTGAAAGGCCAGGTTTCCACCACCACCACCACCACCACCACATGGGGGAGGAGGATGGGGAGGCCCTCCTCCTCTCTTCCTCCCCCTCCTCCTCCTCCCTCTGGAGGAGGAGGAGGAGGAGGAGGAGGAGGAGGAGGAGGAGGTAGTGGTGGTGGAAAATTGGCCCCTCGGCCTCATGGCGCCCAGCAGGCACGTCACCCTCGTGTGCTGGGGCGTCTCCTCGAAGGCCAGCACCTGGCGCTCCGAGGTGCAGAGGCGGACCTTCGCCTGCCCCCTCCTCTCGGTCGGGCGCGTCCCGCATCCAAGCGGACTCGGGGCGAAGAGTGAGGAATTAGGGGAACAAAAGGTGGCATAGACATAAAAACTCGGAGGTCCGCGCGGATTTCTCGGATCGGCGCTGGACCCCCTCCCTGGCGCGCGGAGCGCGCCAGGGGCGGCGCCAGAGGCGCCGCCGGGGGGCCCCAGCGCCGACCCGAGAAATCCGCGCGGACCTCTGATTTTTTATGTTTATGCCACTTTTTGTGCCCCTAGGAATGGCCCAAACAGAAGTACCCCAGCACAGTCCAGAAACAAGAGTCGACGAATCGTCCCCAGACTGCGTCTTGCTACCGTTCTTGAAGACAGTCGGACTTGAATGGAGAGGACACGCGAGAGGGCACGAGACCCTTCCGAGGGCCACGCTTCCACCGAAATGCAGGAGGCACGGGTCGCAAGACACAGGACACGAGGGTACCCTTGATCTGGCAGGGTCGACCTGCCAATCTGGGCCGACTGTATTCCCGAGGAGGAGGAGGAGGAGGAGGAGGAGGAGGAGGAGGAGGAGGAGGAGGAGGAGGAGGAGGAGGGGGAGGGGGAGGGGGAGGGGGAGGAGGAGGAGCTGTCGAGGGACATGCCCGACCGGACCCTTCCTGCGGCGAGCCCTCGGCACGGCTGCGCGCCTCCGCGCCGCCAGCTCCTCGAGAGCTCCCGGCATCGGCGGCGGGCGCGCGGGCTGCTCCGTCTGCACGGCGGCGGCCCTGGTGCGAGGGGCGCACGGCTGGGTCGTCCTCGACACCACGAAGCTCACCTTGGGAGGCAGAAATCCTCTAGACTTTCTTGGTACATCACACCCCCCCTTGCCCCAGTCAGACTTCCACCGCCCGGGGAAGCGGTATGCAAGAACCGCGCGCCCCAGTGAGGGAATTTCGTATACGAGACCCACGACCAGGACCCTCGCCCGCCCCCTGGGGCTCTTGGGCACAGTCTACAAACTCTTCGGGCGGAAGAAAGACATACTCGCACTGCATGTCCTCCCTGGAGGCGTGCGCCCGCCCCGTACACGTGGTGTACCCACTCCCCATCGCTCGGACGTCCATTCCCTGTTTTTTTCGGTTTCGTGCGTGGCTTTTTCGCCAAATGATCAAGGATGCTTCTCGATGGTCCTCGCCGAAGGAAAAATGCACACGTCCGAGCGATGCCAAGCCCATGCAGTAGTATGTCGTTTCCCGAACGGTGCGGCCAGAAAGCGCCCGCCACGACGCGTATGCTAGAAGATGTCTCGGTGCGCGCGTCGCCCCGGGGGAGGCGGCGCACATATAGCATGAATACGTTGGGGTGACGCCCGTTGAGTACCGTTTAACCGATCCCCATCCCCACCAGCGTGGGATGGGCCCCGCTGGCCGGTTTACCCCCCTGATGGGGATACCGGCTGCTCTCTTCGGGCCTCGAGGGGCACACCCCCGACGGAGGTGGCGAGACGCTGGGGCTCGAGATCTGGATGGGGATGGGGACAAGGGATCGGTGAAACGATAGTGACCAACACCTCTGACGACCTACCAGACCACCCCAACCCAACCCGAAGACCCGAATTTCCGGTGGTGGGGGGGGGGGTACGGGCTCCACGTGTGTTCTCTCGCTGGTCCCCGACACCCCCCCAACTGGAAAAACGGAGGGCACATCGAGATCTCCGGGTCGGGCTGGGGTGGTTTGGTGGGCGGTGAACCTCCGTGTCGAGCTCCATGGCGCACTCGGGCGCAGCGCCCACCGCGCGCGGCGGCCCGGGGCCGAGCGCGCCGCCGCCCCACGGAGGCCGCGCCGCCTCGCGCGCGCGGGCCTCGGCGCCGGGCCCGTGCCCCGCGGGGGCCTCCGGGAGGCGCTCCTCGCCCACCTTCTGCAGGCACACGCGCACCCAGCGCTCGGAGGCGGCGTAGGGGACGAGCTTGGCCTCGAAGTGAGCCGCGGGTGCCCCCGTGGGAGTGGCGCCTCTTGGCGGCGAGCAGAGGGGGGGTAGGGGGAGGGGGGAGGGCTTCTTAGAGGGAGGCTGCTTCCTAGGAGGCGCCAGCCTTGCATCTACAGAGAAGGCCCGCACCTTCTGAGAAGCAGGGGTGCTTCTAAGAAGCCCCCCCCCCTCCCCCTACCCCCCTCTGCGCGCCGCCAAGCCTCTGTGGAAGGTGCAGAGGATGGGGCGGGGAGGCGGGCCGGATCGATCCCGGAGAAGGCGCGCGATCGCCGCAGAGTCGCCAGCACCGACGAAGCCGAAGATCGTCGCGCCCTCGGCACTCGGGCCAAGATTCTCCGCGAAGGCATTGCTGACACCGCTGATGATCCCAGCCTCTCGGCTCAGAGTGCAGAGGCCACTCGTGGCTTGATCGAGCAAGAGGTGAGTCACCGCAGTGGACTTCTGCAGCCGGTAGAAGACTGTGGCCAGCTGCCACTCCTCCGCCAACGCCCGAACAACTAGGAGTATGGAAAAAACACAGAACGACAGTGGATCAATGCTGCCATGCTGTTTCATCAAATTGCTGCCAGTCAGAGGCAAAAACAAGAACGGAACCAAAGAGAGAGAGTGCATGCCCCCTGCAGTCTGCAGAAACATGGCCAGCAAAATCCAAAGAGAACCCCCAGCATAACCTGCCGTTTGGCAATCGGCAAAATTCCATACCATCACGAATGCGTCGAGCCAAAGCGACGACCATGGAATGGCGGCACAACAGATTGGCGCCACAAAGTTGCTGCAGAGGCCGTACGTCGTCTCAGTGCCGGCATCCCTGTCAATGTCCAGACCCTTCACCAGCGCGATGAGCATGATCACGGCTTTGAAACCTCGGCGGCGAGGAGACGACGCGAAGAACTCCTGGCTGGTCGTCACCTCCCACCAGTGCTGCACAGACGAAACTGCCAGGCGTAGCCCCTCTCCGCACCGCGCCCGCGGACTCGGCTGCTGCCCGGCCGAGCTGCCGAGCAGAGCGTCCGAGCTCATCCGCACCACGTCGCGCTGCGACGCGGCCCCGCAGCTCCGCACGGAGGGCACCACGGCGGCGACAGGCAGTGATAGCCGCAGGGGTGCGAACTGAGCTCTGGGCCCAGCTGACGGCGCACGCGGGCACGCAGCAGAACTGCTCGAGCCAGTGTCCACAAGAGCTTGCCGTCGAGTGCAGAATGATCCTCCTCCTCCTCCTCCTCCTCCTCCTCCTCCTCCTCCTCCTCCTCCTCCTCCTCCTCCTCCTCCTCCTCCTCCTCGTTCTACTCGTTCTACTTCTCCTGCTCCTTGCCCTCGTCCCCCCAGCGAGCGAAAAAATTGCCTTCCAGCGCGCCCCCAGGGTCCATTTCCAGCAATGCGCCGGACGCGCTGGGCGCGTCGGAGTGTCCCCATCCAGCGCCCTCGCTCGAGACATCCTCGCAAAATCGCCCCACGGGCCCCCAGCGCATCCCCAGGGTCCATTTCTGGCGATGCGCGGGGCGCGCCGGGAGAGTCCCATCCAGCTCCCTCGCTAGAGACATCCTCGCAAAATTAGCCCGCAGGACCTCAGCGCACCCCCTAGAACCATTTCCAGCGATGCGCCGGACGCGCCAGGCGCAAAGGGCGTGTCCCGATCAGGCGCCCTCGCCCGAGACATTATGGAAAAATCGCCCCACGAGCCCCTTCCGGCGATGCGCCGGGCGCGCCGGGCGCACTTGGCGCACCAGGCGAGGACGAGGACGAAAACGAGGACTAGCTTGAG